GTAGTGGAGAGGCACGAGGAGGACCCTGGGGAACATTGTGGGGCGGGGGGGTGACAGACGAGGACGTTTCTGGGAGGGGGTGACACGGGGACGCATACCGGGGGTCGGGGCGACCGGTCGGAGAAGTGCAACACAGGGGGGAGGCGACCGACGGGGACACAATGCGGGGGAGTAACCCCGTTATTGGGGGGGCGGGGGGGCGAGCCCGGACGGTGGGGGAGGGGCATGCAGTGCAGGCCCCAACCGGGGAGCGGGGCTGGGGAACGCCCGCCGCCGCCCCTCCCCGTCCCGGCGCCCCTCCCACTGCTCCCATCCCGGTGCCTCCCGGTGGGTGGGGGCGGGGCCGGCGGAGGCGCCCCCCATCCCCCGGTTCCCCCCCGCCCCGCCCCGCCCCGTAGCCGTATCTCCGGGGCCGCCCCCACCTCCGGGGCCGAGCAGGGCTCCGCGGGGCCTGTACCTGCCGCGGGCCCTCCCCGTGCCGCTCCGCGCCGCCCCGGCACCGCACCGACAGCCGCGGCCCCCCTTCTCCGGCCGCCGCCGCTGACCCGGAACCGGAAGCGTCTGCCCCTCCCCTCCGCCTCCTCCAGCACTTCCGGCGAGGAGCCCGGAGAGCGGGGGCGGCATCGCGCATGCGCAGCGCCGCGCCATGAGGCGGAGTGCGGAGCCGCCATTTTGAGGCCGGGCGGGAGTTGCCTGGGCGACCGAGGGCGGTTGGCAGCGAGGCGGTCTCGGCCCGGGGGGTCCTTCCCCGGTGTTGCCCTCGGAGGGGAGACGGGGGTCCTTCCTCCCGCTACCGGCCCTCGGGAAGTCGTTCCTCGCCCCCTAATTGCCTCTCACAGCCGCGGCCTTCTCGTCCCCCTCCCGTCCCTCTGTGACCCCCAGGCTTTGTGTCCCTCCCGGTTCCCCGCGGCCCTTTTGTTTTCGTTTGGGGATGGGATGGAGGCTGCCTGTTCCCTGCCGGCAGGCCCAGCGCTGCAGGACGGATTGGGGGAGTTCATAGAATCACAGAACGGTGGGGTTGGAAGGGAGCTCCAGGATCACGGAGCTCCAACCCCCCAACATGCAGGGCCACCAACCTCCACATTTCACAGCAGCCCAGGCTGCCCAGGGCCCCATCCAGCCTCCAACGCCTCCAGGGATGGACGGGGCATCGCAGCCTCTCTGGGCAGCTGTTCAGCCCCTCACCGCTCTCACAGCACACAACTTCACTGACATCCAACCTCCATCTGCCCTCCCTCAACTTCATTTCCCCTCGTCCTGCTCTCATCTCCCCTTGCACAGCATCGGCTCCCCTCCTGTCTGCAGGATCCCTTCAGGCACTGCAGGCTGCACTCAGCTCACCCCCAGCTTCTCCATGCTGGATGAGCCCAGCTCCCTCAGCCTGGCTTTGCAGGGAGGTGCTGCAGCCCCTGCTCATCTCCAGCTCCTCTGGACCCTCTCCAACAGCTTCCTGTCCTGGGGGCTCCAGCCCTGGACGCAGTGCTGCAGATGGGGCCTCACAAGAGCAGAGCAGAGGGGGACGATCGCCTCCCTGTCCCTGCTGCCACCCCTCTGCTGATGGAGCCCAGGATCCCATTTGCTTTCCGAGCTGCAGTCACACACTGCTGGCTCACGTTCAGCTTCTCATCCCTCGGGACCCCAGGTCCTTCTGTGCAGGGCTGCTCTCAAGGATCTCCTTCCAGTCTCTATGGATGCCTGCCATTCCTCCGGCCCAAGTGCCAAACTCTGCCCTTGGCCGTGCTGAACCTCATCAGCTTCACCCTGCCCACCTTCCCAGCCTCTCGAGGTCCCCCTGAACGCCATCCCTTCCTTCCAGCCGCTCAGCTGGGTGTCATCAGCAAACCTGCTTGATTCCATTTCCCCAGAGCCCCCCGGGCCACCGCTGTCCCCTTTGCGCCAGGCTGGGGGCAGCGGATGCAGCAGAACTCAGCCAGCCCCCCCATGCACATACTGAGGGCGCTGGGACGGCCTGGCAGCTCTCTGACCCCTCCCCGGGACGCAGCCCCGCTGTCAGCCGGTGCCGGCGGCGCTGCAGACTTTGTCCCCGTGCGCACAGAGGGCACCGCTGGGAAACAGCGGAGATCGCCGCGTTTGGGTGAGGGGGAGAAAGGGAGCGGGGGGGGGGGGGGGCTTCGACCCCATTAAGGGAGACACGCCGAGGTGACCCCGACCCGCGGGGCCGCGCCGCGATGGCGGAGCAGGGCGACCTGGAGCGGCCGGCGGTGGATGGGGCGGCCGGGGAGGAATTCCTGCGTGCTGCCTTTGAGGTGCTGCTGGAGGAGGCGGTCAGGAGAGGCACGGACGCGGCTCAGAAGGTGGGAGCGTGGGGGAGGAAGCGGGGAGCGGGGGGCTCTCGGCCGGGGGCTGAGGGCCGGGCGCTGCCCGCAGGTCTGTGAATGGAAGGAGCCCCAGGAGCTGCGGGAGCTGCTGGACCTGGAGCTGCGGAGCCGCGGGGAGCCGGCGGGCCGCCTGCTGGAGCGCTGCCGGGACGTCATCCGCTACAGCGTGAAGACCTGTGAGAACTGGGAGCCCCCGCGGTCCTCCCTCCTCCCCATCCCCACCCGATCCCGAGATCACGGGTCCAGCAGCCCTGGTCCCTCCGCACAAAGGTCGCAGCAGCTCCACTCGTGTCCCCGCCACCACGCGGCTCCCAGCAGCTCTACTCGTGTCCCTGACACCCAGCTGGGTCCCAGCAGTGCCGTTCGTGTCTCTGCCACCCCGATGGGCCCCAGCAGCCCCATTCACCTGCAATGGATGCCCAGGGAGGTGGTGGAGGCACCGAGCCTGGGGGTGTTCAAGGAAAGGCTGGATGCTGTGTTGAGGGACGTGGTTCAGTGGGAGCTGTTGGGAATGGGGGAACGGTTGGACTGGATGAGCTTGGAGGTCTTTTCCAACCTTGGTGATTCTATGATTCTATGATTCACCTCTCTGCTGCCCTCACAGCAGTGGCAGGCTCCCTCCCAGGCAATCTTTTTCCTCTGGCAGCCATGTCCCCAATGGACCATGTCACCATCACCACTGGCGCGGTGTCTCTCAGCCCCTCCATTCACTGACACCCCTGTCAATCCCCCCCATCCCCAGGTCACCCTCGCTTCTTCAACCAGCTCTTCTCAGGCCTGGACCACCACGCTCTGGCGGGACGCCTGCTTACCGAGACCCTCAACACCAGCCAGTGCGTGCCTGGGGGTGCGGGTGGGGGGGTCTCACTTCAAGGAGCGGCTTCACTCCCCCCCTCGCTGTGCCCCCAGGTACACCTATGAGATCGCCCCAGTGTTTGTGCTGATGGAGGAGGTGGTGCTGGCCAAGCTGAGAGAGCTGGTGGGCTGGAACAGCGGCGACGGCATCTTCTGCCCCGGTGAGGGGGGAGGCTGCTGTGGGACCCCCGGCTCCAGGCACGTCCTTGACGTCAACGCTGCTGTCCTTGTGCCCGGGCAGGGGGCTCCATCTCCAACATGTA